TACGAAATCGAGCTTTAAGTTGACCAAACGCGTTTTCTATTACGCGCCGACATCGGAATAACCGGTAGTTAAACGTTTTTTCCACAACTGGCTGATTCGGTGAAATGGAAAAGGTTTCATCAAATAGCGCGATAAACGAAAGGCTGAGTCGCCAATAAGTAGCAGGGGAACATCCATGCCTCCAATACGTTTGCTATTCTGTTGAAAAATATCAGCGTTCTCGTGGTAACTTTTTAAAGAACTGCTTTCGAAAATGTATGAATCATTGTTTCTTCCACTTGATCCGACATGTATATCGGTAAATTTCGATCTGCCAAAGGGAAAAGTACATATATATTTAAAAGGTTTTACTAAGGATACGAACAAATTTATGTACATACCTATAATCACAACTTGCAAATAAATTTACTGAATACCAGCCCTTATAATTATAATAGTCGATTGCGTCCTCTTTTTTTGGCTGAACCTCTATATGACAGCCATCTATAGCACCAAAACATTGGGGAAATCCCAGTTGTCCGAACCCATGCACAATTTTCTTCAGTTCTTCGGGATGTGGCGGATAGGAATTGATGCAGTCCAATAAATTGTCACAAACTGCGTTACAAAAATATAGAACAATTTCTACAACTGTGCTGCGTCCTACACCGAATAAGCTGGCAACGGTCCGGTATTCCGCTGACGAGCCTAGTGCAAATAATGCAATGGCCACCCTCTTATGAAGAGGGATGCAAAGTCTCATGTTGGTGTCCATCTTCTCGATTCTTTGAACCTTCTCGCACACTTTTTGAAACGCACTTTTGTTGAGCCGAAAGTTTTCCTTGAATCGGTGGTCATCCATTCTGAACACATCAAACTCCCAAAAAGTGCCATTACGGTCCTTCAACGAATGTTTTTAATATTTATATATATAAATACATAATATTATATATATGTACATAATATAATATGTACTTACAAACTTCCAAACTGGCCTTGATCTTATCTCAGAATGAGCGAATGCAGTACTAGTTTGCATCACTACCTTTGCTTCATTGAATATTTTTATGTTTTGGAGAAGTTTCAGCAAAAGTAATGTAATCTTTTTTTTTTTAATAAATAATCGTTTTTTATCAACAACGCAGTCGCCAATTTTATTTGTCGTCTTCTGTCCATTTTAACTTGAAGAACTCTCAAAATAATAAAACCACTAAATCAGCTGTTTACTTAATCCGCAATGTTGCCGTCCGTTAGGGTAAAATTTGGATCAGATTAAGTGTGCAATTAATCCGGATCAACGCGGCCGTCTGTCTATGCTTTTATTCAACGTTCGAGTGGGAAAGGTGGTTTTTCTGTGCTGGTGAGTGAAGAATAAAAACTCAAAACAATTTACTGTTCTTAAGTGCATTTTGGTGTTGAGCGATCTACACAGGCAATAGTGAGTATCATATTTTTCGATTTTCTTAATTTTGTGTGGATTTGTGGTTAAAAAAAAGCCTGAGAATGGTTGTGTGGCGTAACGTGGCAGCGTCATCTGCTACCATGGCGGGGTCTGACCGGGAGGCATCCTCCAGGTCAAAGTCAAGAGTCAGGAAAAAGAAAAAAAAAAGACAATGAGGAAGACGTGCTACTTCCTAGGCAAATGGAAGTGGAAATTTGTCAGGTTACAACAAATTCTAATCCGTTTAATAACAGTTAGGTGTTCTGAAACCCCCCCTAAATGTAGAAGTGTAGGTTTTTAAGGCACTTAAACTTGCAAAAAGGCAAAATGAGCTTTAAGAAAAGGCCAAAAAGGGCATATATTTTTTAATTTTGTTATGTACTTCCTTTATGTACAATGTGAAGGTCCAATTAAAGATATAAAAAAATACATACAGTGGTCAAAAAAATTATAACCGAACCACTTTTTGCCAAGTTTTAACGTATTATATTTGGTGTTATTGAACTTTTGTTATTTTTTTAAATAAAAATATAGTTCATTCTTTAACAAAACCCGTGGAAATCCATGTTTCCAAATTTGAGGAGTCCACTTGCAAAGGCGCTATGTAAATTTTTTTTAGATTTTTAGTTTTTGGTGAGTAACGCGTACCAGTATTTAAAGTAGTTTCATGGCCACTAACAATACAGTGCAAAATCTTTCTATTTTCTGAAAAAATAGCATCAGATGTTAACTACTATTGCAAAAGTCGTTATAATACTTATTTATACACTTTCAAAAGTCTCCATCTTCTGATGAACTTAGAAAACTGTAAGAAAACGTGATAGTTTCGGTGCCTAGTGGAAGGCGTCGTAAAAAAGAAGCAGACCAATCTTCATGTTAAAAATTACTGTTTCAAAACTCGTTATATTAAATTTTTATATATAAAATTTTCAAAAACTACCACACTGCGATATTGTTTTTTAATGTTATTAGGGTCTTGTTTATCCGAATTTACAATTTGGATGTTACTTGTTGTTGTAGACATTTTTTTAATTTGTGGCTCACTATTATAAAATCACATAACGTTGTTTGCAAGTGGACTACTCATTTCTGCAATATTAAAAAAAAATCAACAAACTTTCGTACAAATTTCGAACTTTTAAAATTTCTAAAAATCAATCGACATTTTTAGCCATTTGTACTTGTACTTTATTCTTCTAGAATTCAATGGGCTACACAACTGCATACTCAGAATCTAATTAAAAAACTCGAAATTTTAACGAAAACTTGTTTTTTTTAATTGCATAAATTTTTAAGGCAGTGTCACTCGATTGATACATTGGTACAGATTTGTAAATTTTTATATTGGGCTATTGGTAAAAAAAATGGGAAAATTTTTTTGTAGTCAAAAGATTGGTACAATACAGCGATGTTCTATTGAAAAATTTCAATAAATTAATTTTCGTGATTGGGATAGTGAAAAATATTTTGGGTGTTCAAACAATTGGGATACGATTTACACCAAATTTTGGCAAATACCCAATCGTGTGACACTGCCCTTGAACTTGTATTTCTAACGGATGTTGGTAAAGAACGAACTATAAAAAACTAACCGAAATTAAATAACAAAAATAATATTTTAAAACTTGTCAAAATTTGGTGCGGCTATAATTTTTTCGACTACTGTACATAAGTTGGCTATAATTACTCGGCCGTGCTATCATAGTAGCACAATGCCACTCATATTTGACTTGCAAACGGGCAGGAATTTCAAGATTTCAATCCTGTTCTTATGAAAAATTGTGTTTTTATCAGTATTTTTCTTGTAATCAAAATTTGTTGAAATAAAAGTGAAAGTAAAAAAAAATGCCAGAATCGCCACCCCCCCAGCCCTCCACGAAAAAAAAATCTTGGCTACGGCCCTGGTAATAATAGTGGTAACCGGCAGTTCTGCCAATAATATTAATCAAGAGGTTAGGAATGAGAATCACGCTCATGTATATAACATACATGAAAGATATGACTAACATGACGTACATGTACGGTGACCATATTAACCAACGTAAAATAAAGGACATTTTTTTCAAAACGATTTGGGAATACTTACATACATACAACTTGTATGATAACAGTTCCTTACCCATATCGTAATTTAAATCAAATATTTATCAGTTAATTATATTATTTAATTGTACAAGTTCCCCTGCTGTAGCGAAAAATGAAGCAAAATCCTTTTCAAGGACTTCGCAATCCCTTGCTACCAAAATGCGTTTATCATAATTCATACTGCGAGACGAAGCCAGCACACAGTGGTTCAAAATTGGAATTTAATATTCATAATCCACCGGAGCCATAATTTTCCAACCACTTTTTACTACAAAGCAAATAAAAAAATATTTTGGTGAACATTTTTTATAACATTTCAAAATTTTTTTGTTTTGAGTGAACTATACAATGGTTTTCAACTAGTTTCTGTTATGTAACATTTATTAACTGGGACAGGAGAATACATTTTCTTCAAAACTGCTACTTTTTCTACATTTTG